AATTGAAGAATGGATGAAGAAAGTATGGAATATATACATATTAGAGTACTACTCAGCAGTAAAAAACAAGGACTTCTTGAAGTTTGCAGGCAAATGGATGGAAATAGAAAACACCATCCTGAGTGAGGTAAGCCAGACCCAAAAAGAGGAACATGGGATGTTCTCACTCATATTTGGTTTCTAGCCATAAATAAAGGACATTGAACCTATAATTCGGGTTCTTAGAGAAGCTAAATAAGAAGGAGAACCCAAAGAAAATCATATAGGCATCCTCCTGAATATTAAACTTCATCAGGCGATGAAAGGAGACAGAGACCCACATTGGAGCACCGGACTGAAATCTCAAGAAATATTTTTTTAAAAATGTTCAACATCTCTAGCCACTAAAGAAATACAAACTAAAAACCTGCTTTTTTTTTTTTTAATGTTTCATCCTATCCCAATCAGAATGACTAAGACCAAACAAAAAAACCAAGGCAAGTGCTGGTCTGAATGTAAGGAAAGGTGAGCACATATCCACTGTTAATGGGGATGCAATTTGGTGCAGCTGTATGGAAATAAGTGTGGATGTTCCTCAAATAATAAAATGGATGTATCACATGATCAGCTATACCACTTGAGTATATCCACAAAGAACTCCATGTCCTAATACAGAGATACCTGCTCATCCATGTTCATTGTGCTCTATTCATGACAGCCATGGAATGGAGACAGGTAGATGCCCATCAACTAATAAATAGATAAGGAAAATGTGGCATATTTATATAATGGAGTAATATGCAGCTGTGAAAAATGAAACTTGCTAGGAAATGGATGAAAATGGAAGCTAGCATTCCCAGTGAAATAACCCGGACCCAGACAGAGAAAGGGCTCATAGTGTCTCTCATATACGAATGTTAGTTTTGAGTCTTCAGATACTTGTATCTCATTTGGAATAGCCACAGAGTTAAGAAAATTACTAAGGAGCCATGGCATCGGGGGGATCTTTCTAAAAGAGGGCACATTGATATAAAAAGTATTAACAGGGAATAATGTAATGGGAAGGGCTAACTTGGGGTGGTGGAGGGGACGGCAATTAATATGGGGAGGAATAAATAGCATTAAAGTCTTTTCTAAAAATTCAGATGGAAGTCTACTTCTGTATACACACACAGGAGAGAGAGAGAGAAGTGTGTCAGAGAAAAAGAAAGATAGAGAGAGACGGGGGCAGGGGAGAAAATGGATTTATCCTATAACAGGACAAAACTTCTATTAAACACCAGAGACAAACTAAAGAGACTAGTGCCAGGAATAGGTTATTTATTGTGGGGTTGTTGAGTGGTGAGGTCTCATAGACCTAGCCACACCCACGAGCATTACAGCCTGTTGCCAGTGCTCTTGGTTGGCCTCTAGAACTTGAGGACTATTGTTGATAGCACATCCTTGACTCATGTACTGTGAACCAGTTAAGGTAGTACTAACTTGGATGATTCATTCCTACTTTCCAGCTTTCATGGTACTGGACAATGCTATTCACACCACTAGAGAAGAAAATGAATCATTAATCGTGTCCAACTGTAAATCTGCATCAATGACCGGCCTGGCAAGACAGTCCTACTGGAGCAATAGAGTCATGAGCGCCATTGAAGTAACCAAGTGTTCTCTGATTCAACTTTAATCACACTCCATAAGATAAAACCCATATCTGGCACCATTATCAGGCCAAAATCCTAAGGCTAGAACGTCACAGACCCCGGAAGAAAATCCACTATTGTTATTTTGTTGAAAGCACATAGCATTAAGTAGACTTCTGATGACTAATCATTATGCCCATAGATGAATTCATCTGTCACCTCTCATCAGAGAAACTTCTGTCCGCAGCAGATAATGACTGAGACCCCTCAACTGGCCAAGGCACAGAAAATAGGAGACTGTGAAATGCTCAACTCTAAGTGAAACATATATACTGCACCCCCTTCTCCGAAGGCTAAGGGCTCATAGAAGAAGAGGAGGCAGAAAGAGTGTAAGAACCAGAGGTGATGAATGACTATGGGGAAAGAGTATCTGCCGCCATAGCAGGAAACTGTCCATATGAGTTCACAGAAATTTGTGATGACATACACAAGACCTGTGCAGGCCAAAGCTAAACCAAATCCCAGCATGGAGAGGGACCCTGGGCATGAAATCCCACCCCAAGAATGAGGAGCTACTGGGAATTGTTAGCTGCTGGAAGCAGAGTCAGTTTTCTCTACGAGTGTAACCCCTGGTAAGACCACACACCCAGGAATACTTACACAGTACAAAAAGGTCTTGGATATTATTTTTTAAAGTACACAAAGTTGAGTGGATGGCCAAGGTGGGAGTTGATCTGGGAAGAGTTGCAGAAGGTGGGGGGAATATGATCAAAACACACTGCACAAAATTCTCAAATAACTAATAAAAACAAAAATATATACAGGGCTCTATGTGGAGCCGGGCATGGTGATACAAGCTTACAGTTCAAGCACTTAGGAGGCAGAGGAAGTATGAACACAAATTCAGTTACTAGTCTCAGCTGTAATGGCAAGAATCTGTCTCAAAAGTGAATAAAATTTCAGTGTCTTTGTGGAAGCTTGCTCATAAACCAATTATAATATCTCTTCTTTATGGCTGGAATCTCCATTTCCTCCCCAGAGGTCCTTCCATCTCTTAGACTACATGGCCCTTTTCAGTCATTGCACAGCTTTCTGCTTATTCTATTATTACTCTACTCAATACTATTGTATAAACAGATATTGTATACACGGTGAATAGATGGATAGATGACAGATGGGCCTAGGAATTGACTGATCTATTGATTGATTCCTGAACAAACAGACACTACAACACTTATTTCCTGAGTTAGATGTGGCCACTGGCTTAAACCAGCCCTCAGAAAACTGTACATTGCACCTAGAACTATGGCTATAAATTTTTATTAAGTGCCTGTCTCTTATTTGAACTCTTAGCAGATGGCAGATGATAAGTATTAGCACCGTTAATGGTGATGTAATGTCAGTATTATCTTGGGCTATGCCATCTGGAGAGGTGTCTTGGGTACTGCTCTGCGTATCCTGATCTTTGATGAGATGCTCCATTGAAAATGAGCAAGGCAGGGAAGGAAATTCTGCAATCCAAGCGGTGGCAATGTTCCACGCATAGGCATCCAGCTCATGAAAAAAAAAATCTAAGAGCAAACCAGTATCCATTCAGCCAGAAGCTGAATGTCACTTAGTCTTCATCAAGCAGTTTCCCAGCATCTGCTTTTATCTGTTGTTTTGCTTTTGTTGTTGTGCATACATGTTTCTTTCCACCACAAAAGAACACAAAATCTCACTTTAATCCCAAAGTCATCACGGGCCAACACAAAACATTCTAGGGAGTGGTTCAGAGGCTGAGTGGACAACTTGATGTAAGCCATTTCCACACCATTCTACTGTGGTTTAAACCAAAGAAGGAAAAGGTCTCATTTGGCAGGGTTGTGATCTTTAAGTTTTCCAAAACTTACTGTTCTTTATGTGGTCTATCTGTAAAACACATGGTCAATAAAATGTGTACTAAACACAATCGCCACGGCTCCTGTGAAAACTTCTAATGGACATAGCACACCCACAGCATTTGCTTCAGAGTTCTAACCATAATTATTTATCTGCAAGGCCTTGACAAATCACCACTTCCTCCTTGATGGACTCCCCTTGAGATGGCACAGGTTCCCCCATTCCCTTGGCTTGGCAACATATACTACACTGGTTTCAATTTGGGGTGACACACTTGGATTGGCAACAAACAAAGCACAAGTACATGAAAATGTCCTTAACCCAGTGCACCTCACAATTCTCTCCTGTTCTAATTATTCAATATCTGCTTACAAGTATGTTTGTACATGAAATAGAATGGCAAACGCTGCTAGATGAAATGGCAGTAGAATCCCTCAGAGAGGAGAAAACAGTTGGACACCAACGCCTTTATTTGGCCGTTTGGTTGGAAAGAGAAGCTAAGCTGAAGGTGTGATAATCTGTGAAGGGGGAATCGAGGTCAATTGAGTTAAAGGAAAGAAACTATGAAAGAAAGGGGGGGGCTCCAAAAATGGTATGGGTGGAGCTGACAGGAGCTGAAACCTAATCAAAGACACACTTTGTGAAAATCTCCCAGAGACAAAACAATTAAAGCCTTCCATCACTTAGGAAGCTTCCTATTCCAGTTTAGGATATTCATTCTACATCTCTGTGAAATAATCCCCCTTGCTGGCCATGAGCCTTCAGTGAATTGTGCCATATGAGCCCTGGTTCAATTGTTCCAAAGGATGTGAAGATTGCTGGGGGTGACAAAAGGATGCTTAAAACAGTAACAAAACAATAGAGAGATCCAGAGAGACCACCAGCAGGTCACACCAGAGGTGTGCAGGGACACCACTGGCCTTCCCTGGGGATCTCTGCAGAAGAGTGGAATACCTTCTTTTCAGAGGGTTAAAACTACTACCGGTGCCAGTGTGATATATGGTTCTATATTCCACAATTTCCTGAGAAGATTCATTGAGAAAAATCATGTAACCTGTGTGCAGAGCCTGGTCTGTCTGTTGTAAAGGCTTGATGGAATAGCAGATACTTCCTTCCAATCAAGGGTCAATTGCTGTTCATTGCAAGCTGCTCAGTTCTGGGCATCCTGAGGGCTTTCAGCTCTCAGGGAACGTTAGTCCACATTCCAAACACCTTTACTACGCGTTCCTAACAGTCACACGTACAGCTGGAGCCTCTTTCTTCAGCATCAATCTTACCCCACCGGATATTAGCCAGGTTGGAGCTGACGCCAGGCTCCAGAAACAATGGAAGCCAAGAGAAGGGCAGCCTCAGAGCAGCTCTCTCAGGTAAGAGCCAACGCTTCTTCACATGGTTAGAAAGAGCAGTTGTCTCCAAGGGACCATGAAGCAACATACATACATACTCAGCAGAAACTTCGAGAAGGAATCACATTGTCCTTTGACCTGGAAATTGTCACTCACCCAAGCATTTGGGGCAGCACTGTCCTGGGGGTGTGTGACTAAGGTGCTGGGGACAAGAGAGAATGGGGCAGACTTCTCTCACGCACTGTGTCCTGCCTCCCTGAGAAAAGAGAGAGAGAAAACGCATATTTAGAAAAGTCGGTGCACATAGATGATACACAGCTAAGATGTCGAGAGCAAGCACAAGGCCTTTCTTCAGCATCACACTGGCCGATCAGCTCCCTCTGAGTGGTAGACTGGGGTCCCCCACAAGCATTTCTTTCATTTTCCCTGTAGGCCTTACAGACTCCAAAAACTACGAAAAGATCACCTGCAGCTATCTGGTTGTAGACAACATCCCTCCCAACACCCACTCCCTTTCTTTATCATTTCGTTTCTCAAACCTAGCTTTAGAGTAGGCTAGGGTAACCAGCCATCTCAGATGTCCTAGGATATGAAAACAGTTTTAAAATGAAGAAAGTGAAAACAAAGACAACAACAAAAACAGGCCAGCAATCCAAGTGAATCCATTTCCTATCCAAGCAAAGTGCTCCCATTTGCCGAGACTTTTTTGATCTCTCTATTCCCATCTTCCCCATCTTTCTGCAGACATCTCCCTACAGTAAGGCTTCACCCTCAGTCTCAGCTTGCAGAAGCTGGAGGGTGTCCCATTGACGGTTCAACCAGAGAAGGCACCGCACCTGCTGAAGGTGGGTGCTGTGGACGCCTATGTGCCACAGGACCGTCTCGGTACCGACACAACCTGGCTCACTAGTTATAAGGCCGTAATGGCTGATACCGGAAGAGCTGGAAGAGCCTAGGAAGCCTACAGTAGGAACTTTGAAGACTTTAGATATGGTTTGCATTTCCTTCTACTAACCCTAAGAACCTCTTATCCCCAACATTCTTTCTTATCCTCTTGCCCCAGCGGCCTCCCCATGTCTCTGCCTATTGGTCTCTGTGTTCCCTTGGGAGACAGAGACGTAGACTCCACCCCCCCACCCCCCCACCCCTGTCACTCTTGATGGTGGTGTCTCAGTGAGCTGTAACCGTATATTCAGAAAGCTGGAAGAAGAAAAACTAAAAATGATTCCCAGTTAGTTCACATCTAACACACAAATCATCAAGGCTGGCACGAAGACCGTCCCAATGCCATACAGGTCACTATATAATAAACTTTATGAATGAAGTCTTATTTTTCAGAAGTAGCTAAATTTGGTAAGTAGATCACCAGACAAACGGGATTATCTTGAACTGGTACCAAGTTCTTGCTAGGTGTCCAGAAGTGAAGAAAAGGTGGACAGGTGAACACAGAGATGCAGAACAGTCACGTGGTCTGGGCTCTCAGCTGGAGGAACTGTGAGGCCGTACAAACGCCTCATGTTTACTATGTATAGCTGAACAGGAAGGCAGGATTATTGCATATAGCTGGACAGGGAGTTGGGTTATCACACATGAGTAAACAAGGAGGAAGGGTTTGTGTTTTACAGCTGGATCAAGGGGCAGGTTTTGCCAGTCTCAGCAGCAACAGCCTCTGTAGGGAAGCAGTCTTCAGACCACAAATATTCTGAGACAGAAAACTACCATGAACATTTTCTGCACGCACTATCAGCACCCACATACAAACCAGAAGGGAAGACTTTGCCATTTCCTTACGATCCTCAAACCCCCCCTTACCCTCCATGAGATGGGGCAGGGGTGGCACTTAGCCATTCCTCAGTGGGTCTGAGGCTCTGGGGTCCTTGGCATGACCATGCCCCAGGCATTCACTCAAGACTTCCTCTGCTTCCCAAGACTAGGTTCCTGGGATTTGAGCTGCAGACATGCTAAAGGACTTACGGTTCCCCATTACCTCTGATGGAGAGTTCATAGCTCAAGAGGCCTTGATCAGTGAGAAACAGGCCCAAGGAGCCCTGGCCCAGAGAAGGAAAGCCCAAGCTGCAGTCACTTCCTCTCACCCCCCCCAGCCCTGTCTGCATGAGCAGCAGACATTACTAGCGTTGGCTGTGGGGAACCTCTTGGCAATCACCTCTCCCTAGCCCAGTCTACCCTGTCCTTTGTTTCTGCATTCCCTAATTGTTCTAGTCACATTTATTATTACAGTTTATTTTTTTGGTGGGGAAGAATTTAAAAAGAAAAGAGGCCATGTTAAGTCTTCACAAAGATTTGTTATTTTTAAGTCTTTTTAAATGTTGGATTGTCCCCTAAACCAATACAAAACATGCAAAAAAAAAATACCACAAAATACTCTCCTGTTTTTATATTATTTCCAGATCAAGAATCATTAAAAATCTCCCAAGGATCATGGGTTGTCCTGAGAATTCTCACTCAACTCTGCATAAAGCCTGAAGGTAGAGATCTGTCATCAGACTTCAGGGGTAGGTAACAGGAGTCTGGGCAAGTCACTGACACGGCCCAGCTTATGCATAAGACCCAGAGGTTACCCGCAGAGGGAACACAAGACGATGCTGACCCTTGATTTTGATTTCTATGGAATTCATCTGTGAGCATTTTCTTATGTTCTAAGTTGCTGGCCGTACAAGGCTGTCTGTGTGCAGGCCTCTCTTAGGTGCACGAAAACACAGGCTTTTCATTGATATCCTCTGTTCTTGTTGGATCGGCATCTATTTTTAAAGTATATTTTAAAATTAGAAGTTTTAAAATACTGCATAATTTCTGAAAGTTAATGTGTCCAACACTTTGCAGTGCTGGCAGAAGGCTATGTGTGCACTGGTAACTTTGCTTGCTGCAAGGTCAAAGAGCAAATTTTGCATAGCTAATACAACTGCACTTTGTGTTTCCCTAGAGTCTGTTAAAGTAACTTGAACTTCAGTCTGGGTTTGCTGGCTTAGTCAAGTTTTATTTTGTTTGGGTTGCAGTCTTACAGAACAGCTCAAGTCCCCAGGCTGCTTCCAGTTAAGGCCTCCAAAGAAAGGGCTGGCCCTTTTTAGAACCCAGTTGCAGCTCACAACCTGCTTCTAATGTTTCAGCTCAGAGAAGATTCTGATTGAACAACCTGTGGCTAAGCTATACACTAACTGGGTTAAAATGTCAGTAGCAAGCATTTCTAAAAATGAACATATTCAAGGGCAACTGGTCTACCACAGCCTCTACCAAACATACACAAGCACTTACAATGTGGCTTCCCTGATCTGACTCTCTTCCACTCATCCACCATAGATAGATCCACACATAAAGGACTCCTCTCTGGTACCTACCCTTTTATTATATATTTGTTGAGTGTGTGTGTGTGTGTGTGTGTGTGTGTGTGTGTGTGTGTATATATATACATATATATATATATATATATATATGCTTAGAATGTAACTACGAAAATAACAATGCTTTTTATAGAACTTTCATTACCAATTAGCACACTCTCATCTTTGCTAAGGCCGAGGAAGACTCAACACTGTGTGTAGCAGAAAGTTCAACCTACTCAAACTCAAAGGCAAGATAGGAGCCATATGTCAACCAAAACTGCTTCCTTAGTCTCTCAACAAACATTTCCAGACATCCATGCAGATAGGCCTTGTCACATGACTCATTTCTAATCAGTGGAAAGAACATAAAACATCTGTAGGCCTGATGCCATCATCAACCCCTGTTGTAATCCTGTGTCAGCCAAGAACAAAAATTAAGCCTCTTCTCCCCGTGGAGCCTTCTGGAACCTTCATTTCTCAGGAATGCCCTCCTTTCCATATCTTCTGTTTTACCATTCATTCTTCTATATTGGGGGCTTATATAATTTTGGGTGCAATTATAAAAGCTTCATCTTATAAGGTAACAGAGTTTTGCCTCCATGTAATGTTTTCTTGGAGGCAGGTCCAGTTCTGTGCTCCTGATGTCCTAAAGAAGAGTGAAAGTTTGAGGAAAACCCCATCTAAGAGTTGTTCATTGAGAGGTAGAACATGAGCTCCAGATTCCAGAAACCATTAGCTGTAGAGCGCTAACAATGAGCTGGTAGATCTGGAGGTAGTCTGTGTCCTCTTACCTTTGAATCTCCTTGGTTTCTATATTCTCATTTGACTGACCACACGTCCTAGTTGCTAACTAAATGCCTGTGGATGTTGACAATATTCAACCTCAAGATGTAGAGCTGTTGACACAATTCCTTCCAAGCAATTGAAAGCCTGGTGTTATAAGCTAGTCACAGAGGACAGGAGTACCTCTGTGTTCTGACCCTCACCATCTACCTTTCCTTGAGAATATCAAGACTTGTCTACAGTCAGCTGTTTGTTACAAATGCATAGTCAAGTACTTCTCTGTCACCAGCCAATTGTTAACAAGGACCTGAAACCTACCTCAGGTCTATTTCCTAGGCTTTTCTACTTGGTTTAGATGATCAAATCAAGAACACAATTGCTTTGTGTCAAAGTTTACCCTGCAGCAGCAATTTTGCTGCATAATAAAAATCTGTCTTCGAAGCTGAATTTGGTGATGAATGCCAAGATGAGAAAACCACAGCCATGTGCATGTGGGATGCCTCTGCAACCCCCAAGGGTCCAGAGAATTGGGACTGGAACCTATCCTGTAGCATATGACATGGCATCGCTCCCTCGATTGGGATGCAGAGCCTGGCTGCCTGACTAGAAACTGGAAGCAGGCTTGCTAAACAGCTTTTAAAAATCTCCCCAGGATGTGATATATTGTAGTTGACTCACTGCTGAGTTGTTGTAATGAATCAGCAATGCTCTCCCACATCTAGAGAGATTTTTCCCTATAACCAGTTCTTTGAAAAGAATAGGGTTGATGCTAAAATACTGGTAAGAGAGAAGGGAGCAGCTGAGAGGCCAGCAAAGAAATAGATCTTGAGTAGAAAAGATTCGTGTGGGGTCCCTAAGTCTTACACCATCACAGCCAGTGGCTCAAAGCCAATTAGCGAACAAAGCAACTGCCCTGAGTGATAAACAGGATCAAGACACTGCACACAGAGAGATGGATTTTCTTAGCCACGTCTCTCTTTGTTCTAGAACTTAATTTCAGAACACTCCAAAGCACAACACTTCACAAGGTAAAGGTCTTGGTGTTCGGGTTGTTCTTTTCGTTTTCCACAATAGTAACAACAAACAGACCAGTCAAAGTTGAAGAACAGTGTAGGTGTTGGGCTTCTGGGCTGAG